CAAGTGTTTTCTCGTGACTTTGAATGCCTTTATGGTCATTGGATGATTTCAACAAACCCACGTAACACATGACTTCAAAAAATGTCTTACGACACCGAAAGACTTCAAAAATCCTGTTTTACTATAAATTCGAGTCTTTGAAAGACTTATCGCGACCCTGAATGACTTTTGATGCCCCAAATAACTTTTAAAGGCTGTAAATGATTTTCGTGACGTTAGGCGACTTTAAATAACTTAAAAGTAATTTCCACCAGTCTTTTGAAAGTATACTAAGCTCTCCCCAAGTGCTTTTTGATTCAATGCTCCGTTGGCTCCGCTCTTTCTTTGTAGAAACACTGACGAGCCTCTTGCAGATTCATCAGCTCCTTTCATGCGAACGAATAATGTTTCAATTAACCTTTTGTAAACGCAATCCCTTGCGAATTCAATCTCGCATTTGCAAAGCGCAACTAATATACGTCGTTTCGAGAACTGTACGAATGGATGTCTTGGGGCTCGTGAAATCTAATCAAATTTAATAACGCCAGTCGGAGGAAGATATTGCTCCGAGCGCGACAACTCAAGGCAATAAAGCCTGCGTCCGTGGAAACCCAAGGAACGGCACGGCTCGACGAAGCAGAAAAAATATAACCACCACGCCTTTGCACACGAGCGACGAATCAGAAGCCATCGACGTTCTAGAGACCCTATGGCCGATGGAGGATGCGTAAAGAACCGCGAAAAGAAGGGAAAAAAATGGTAATAAAGCCACGTTGGCTGGAGAAGACGATCCGTCATCCTCGAAAGTACCACGACAACGAGTTAATGTAGCGTGGTGTGTACCCCCCACGATTGGCGTCGTACTTTCCCCCTTTTTTTACGAAGAGGCAGATGGGCTTGAAGAAGGAAAGAGAGGGCTCGGAAAAACCGATTGTCCTTTGGGTTTGACGGTGTAATGGGCTTGTTGTCCATACCATTGCGTGATGGTGATAAATAAGTGCAAATGGTAAGTAGAATCATCAAAATACCAAGAAATTAGCGATATTATAAGTGGAGGGGAATAGCAGTATTTTAAGTCGAGAGGGACCAGTGGCTATACAGTTTCCAAGAAAAATTCTTTAGGCAGCCAGCACTTTCAGGGGGGAAGAAAAAGTTCCCCGCGATGTAACGATCACGAGCACGCTTCCTCTCTCTCGAGTGTCCGGGAATTGGTTCTTCTTCCTCGAGCTCTCCATGTATATTTTTTTTGCGTGGGGTGAAAGGAATTTGTGAGGGACGAAGATAGTGCCCTGAAATTCATGAAAAACTGTCTGTATGAATTCGCTACTCTCACCTACCTCTAGTGGGCTATAGTCTTCGTGATCGACACGAGTTGCATAACTCACCGTCACTATTGGATAAATTGGATCAATTTACAACGAGCGAATAATCAGTTACTAAAAAAATTGCTGAGCAAAGGATATATAGCTACATAATTAAAAAATCAAGGATTACAGGTGTAGGATAAATCAAAAGGACCAATACTACGAAGTCTATGAAGGGCTTACACAAGGGGTGAATACGGGTGGATCTCGTGTCCTTTGCTGCGTTAAATCCTAGCTTAGTGCACTGGTTAAATATTTTCACCGACACTCGTCTTTTCCCGGAATCTGTTGGATTAAGCTTTCCCCGCATTAATTTTGTCAAAATAATTTGTCTCTATTGGGAGGGATCTTCACGCTGAATTGTTGTTAACTGGTTCCATCCACTGTTAACTGCAAATAAAATAAAATACAAGACCACTACTTAATGCGAGTTGCATGCAACGTCGAAGTGCAAAGATTAAATTTTATCGATGTTGCATACTACGAAAAAGGCAATAGTGACAAGTACACTAGATTTTACTTGAAATATCATCTCTGACACCAGTGACAGGACCATATTTTCGTTTGGAGGTGAAAGCATTTCAGTGTATCGTACCCAGAATTCGCGAACCTCTGAGTTTATTTATACACGTACGGGTGGTGCAGTCGCCTTTAGGAAATGGGCGTCGTAAATATACACACTTATATACACAGACCTCGGCGTGTCCTATGATACAATGGAGCAACATCTGCAGCTGCTACAATACACAGTGTATGTGCATGCGGGCACGACTTGTTTCTTTTTTCTTCACGCTCGGGAGAAAATTTCACCGCAGCGGAGGAACGAAGCTCTTGCGAGACGTTGATTGAATTTCCGATAAAATGGCTTGGCTTCGGGATGGGGATGATTTTCAATTTTCGCCTCCACTGTCTTCTTTTCGGAGGGAAGGGTGAAGTTTTTTTTCTTTTCTTTCCTTTTTTTCCGAAGTTTTCACGTGAGGTCGACGCTCGTTTGTGAAAATTCCGAAAATACGGGGAACGCCTCCGGGAAAATTGAATTTTCGGAAAATTTTAGCTTGGAAATAATCGATACGCTTTTACCTCCCAAGTTTGGTCAATTGCACAATAAATTCAGCAATCAAATCTGAAAAGCTTCATCCTTGCTTCCTTTTTTATTTTACATTGCGTAGAATTACAAAACTCGCTGAAAAATCTCTCAATTTTACGAAAATCGATTCACCGATGGGAAACCAGATAAATGCACTTCGATCCTTCACTACCCACCACCTATAGGAGACCATCGCCCACAGTCCAACACTCCCGTCAGCCAAAAAAACTAGACCTTTTACAAAATTTCGATATCTCAACTGCAAGTAACGAAAAACTTGACTTATATAAAATTGCAACATCCAAAAAAAAAAAAAAAAAAAAGTATCCGAGTTGTCCAAAATGCCGCATTCGCTTGCGCGTAGTTGCGACGTAACGTTACAGGCACAAAGAGTCGCCCTTTCTTCTCCATACCCCCACCGAACGTGTGATGTGCTCGAAAGATTGACTTTTACTTTTTTTCCGAGCCATTCATCCCTTTGGCTGCAGAATTTTCCACTCCACTCTCTTTTTGACGCCCAAGAAAGAGTCGAGTGCGTTTGAATTTTCACAGCGACGTTCCTATGATTGGCGGACCAATTGCCGAGTTTTTCCGACGAGGCGACAAAATTTCTATACTCTACAAACTCACTCGTTGGTTCGGGTGCTCGTAAAACGACAGTTTTACAGCAACGATTACTATTGTCTGTTCCGCTTGAAAAAAAAGCTTTCGCGCACAGCTTCAGATAAAACCTACGAAATCGATCTTCAAGTATCCATTTGAGCTCAACTGCAAATAAGATCTCGCTGAGCGTACGAAGGAAGAAAGAGCACATTTATTTATTCTCCTTCGTGAGCTCTCCGAAAAAAAAAAAAAAAAAAACGGCACACATGCCAACCGCATCACAAGCCACATATATACCAAAAGTACCAGTCAAACGTACCCCATAGCCACAACGAAAGCTCGCGCACGCACATTCATTCCACGGTACGGTTCGAACAGTACACCGCACGAAGCTGAGTACACGTGCACGTGAGTTGCGCACAGAAATCGGCTTAATGACTGATTCGTGAGCAACATGCCGGCCGGGCTCGCGTGCGTACGTATAATGCAAGGGATGATTTAATGAGAGCGTTCGTTAATGCATCGCTCACTCAAGCGGGTCAGGGGAGGGATATCATAACTCCGCGTACGTACCTGTACCTGCGTTTTGTGCAGAGCAGCTCTGATGTGATTAGCTTTTGGATGATTACGCTCGTGTCTGGTTGCCTGGCAGTTGATGCTCTGTTTGATGACTCGAGTGTAGTTGGGGGACTGGCAGCTCGGAGGGAAGTGTCTTTTGTCTTATCCGACGTACGTGATGACACGGGAATAGCTACATGCCTCTGAAATTTGAAAATGAAGCTTTGCCATCCATTGGACTTTTGAGGGTGGGATCCTTAAAAATCTTAGGGCCAGACTCAAACTCTGTGATTCTTAACATAAATAAAGCTTTAGATATTTAGCCACTATTCTGGATACTTTCAACTGATTACGTTGTGTTGCACCCGTTAAATTTAAAATATGAATGAAGTACTAGGAGATTGGTAGAATGAATTTTTAACAATAAACTTCATACCTGTGTAAACAAGGACTGGTAGGGCAGCTCGTGGAAACGTACATGTGATGATGAAAAACAAGAAGCTGTTAAGTTAATGAAAAAGGTTACGCTTTGGCATTACACTATCACGAAAATAGATATTTGGAATACATTTTTTTTAATTCCATTTCGCAACTTTGATTCTATGAAATTCATAAAAGCTTATAATTAACAGTATAGGGATGTACAATTCGAAAAATATCTTGTATAACGATTGAAGGGTTTCATAGTATGATGTAATTCACTAAAAATAAACAATTTTGGTATCACCAAAATTTATCACTACCCTTTTTTGGTACACAGCAACCCCAGAAAATACTCTGCCTGAAAAGTTTCACAAAATAAAACACTTTAATAACCATTGCATGGTGATGAAAAATTCCAATTTCGACGCTTTTACGTTCATTTGGGGAAAGAAGTAATTATAGTTGGAAAAGCTGCGTCTCCCTTATTGTTTTACGGAAGTTATCGATTTAACAGAGGCCCTTTGAAGACGCTGCGCATCATTACTTTCTCGCGTATCGAGTAAATTTAATAAAGATCGTGAGCAGCGTGAAGTTTTCCTCAGTCTCCATTTTTAAGGCAAAAAACTAAAGTACCGAGTACTCGGGAAAGCGCAGTGTATAAAATATCCCGGAAGCCCCCGGCTCTGCAGTTATTAAAAATTTTTGATGCTCGGATATTAAATTGGCTTTAAAAAAAAACGAACTGCTCATCAACATTTTTAGGACCCAAATAAAGATACGCCATTTATTAAACACTTTTCCTACACAATACTCCAATCTGCGTCCAACCGAGTGCACCCTCATAAAGCATACCAAACTACAAGCTTGCGTTCCCAGCAGTAAAAGTCAACCGAGTCCCCGAAGCGCCAAGTGAAAAGATATGTGAAGACCAGACGCATCAGTGGTAGAGTGTCAACTAACGCTTTGGTACATGTCCGTTCCGACAGATATGGCAGTCCGCACCACAACCGCTCGCAGTCAGTAAGGACACCGGGCAGCCGAGCCTCGGGTCGACCAAACTACCTGTGCCTGCCGCAGCAGAGGTCGAGGGTGGCCTCGATGCCCAACACCGGCGTCGAAGAGGACTTCTACCGGCTGCGGCACTTTAGCATCACCACCAAGGGCGTCGTCAACCGTGGCGACTCCCTCAAGAGCCGTCGCTCCCGCTCCAACAACAGCGTCGCCTCCAGCAATTCGAGGTACGTATCAGATGTGCTCATTGTACTTGTACCAACAAACTCGCACATTACACTGCGTCATCCTAACTTTTCTTCCCCCAAACTTTTTTCAGGGCGCTATCTTTGCCCGCCACCCTTGAAATTCTCAGGAGCCGAACTGTAGAGACTCCCAATACGACTCACCTCCCATTTCGATTTGAATAGAAAGAAATAAAAAATAGTAAATCCGTACACACCCACTCTGACGCGTATGAGCAGGTAATAGCGCACGCGCGTCCTGCTCCGCCTCTCTCTCTCTCTTGAGACCATAAATATTCATCCAGGCCGAGAATATTTCATCAAAGCCCATATCTCCCCTTGGAAAAACAGCCCACGTGCAGCCGTGAAAAAAGAAGAGCTGAGGAGGGAACCGAAAAAAAAAAAATTCCCCCAACCCCGTGTATTTATCATTCACACATACGCACCGAAAGTCTCGCGAAAGTGTGTATTTCCCCGTGCGAGCAGCAGCAACAACGACGCATTTCTCTCCGACCCTATTCCCAGGTCGCTCCTTTAAAATAGTGATCTCCACCACGCGGCTCTTTTGTCTCCCTCGTTCCCTCAGCGACATCACTCGCCTTTTCCACCTACTCGCAATTCCCAGTTTCTTCCCTCTAACGGCGCTCTCTTTCTTCCTCTGCATGTGTTTTTTTTTTTTTTTTTTTTTTTTTTTGTTTTTTTTTTATTCATCATATATACACACTGTAGTCGTGCTTTGCCTCACGTTTTATTTTGCTCTTTACCCTTTGTGCGTCGTTTCCTTTCCTGAACGAGGGCGTGTAATTTTTTAACCGGTCTCCCGTGCAACGTTGAACCATTTCAAAACGTACAGGAGAAAATAGTTTGCAATGAAATTAAACTATAAATTACGTTATCTGGAAGATGCATGGTACTCCTTTCCCCCCTTCCACTACCTTAACTGTTGTGCCTGAAAAACGGCGCCCCGTCGCCTTAGTTCGTTAAATTCGCTGGAAATGACACGCCCCGCGAATCCATGTACTCGATTCGGGCGAGGACATTTATTTTTCCTCGATTCCTTGGTTTAGGGTTAATAAATTTTTATCGCTCGCGAATGGAAAAAAAATAAAGGTGTTTCCTTTTTAGTGGTGCGATAAAGCCCTCGGTGAAATTGCGGACTGCCTTTTTTCCGAAGAGCGCGTAATTTTAAAATCGATTTTAAAATAAAATTGGCCTCTTCCCGTCGCGAGCGATTGAATGGTACTAAAAATGGCGAGCTCCGCTCTCGTAGATCGAATCATGTAGGAGGATAAATTAAATTTGACGTAGCGGAAAATTTTGTATTTTTTAATACATTGGTTGACTCTTCCCGTACGTTTTTAGGATAAAAAGTTTATTAAAACCATGAAGTACTTTCCTATGGAATTCTCAATTAGTATCATTTTGTCAGTAAAATGTATTAAATCACATGATTTTATAATCCTACATTCTATATACTTGGCTGACCAAATGTCGAGGTACTCACTGAAATTCACCAACGAATGTAGTCTGTACTCTTTATTGTCGAAAAATATTACAATTTCCTGACATACATTCAACATCCTTATCAGATTTTCTCGTCCAAAAGATGTATACAACCTTGCGAAATCCAACATTCATGTCTGACAATACGTTGAAGTACTCTACTGAAATTCTTCAACGCGAATAGTCTATATACACTTGGTCTTTAGAAAAAATTCAAATATCCTGCCCCACTTGGAGCAGAAAATTTTCTAGCCAATATACGTACGTATACAGCATAGCAAAATACAACATCCACGCCTGACCATACGTTGAGGTACTCTACTGATAAGCACCAACGCTTACAGCCTATACATTTCGTCTTTGGAGAAAAGATTACAATTTTTTTCTTTTACTTGAAACATTTCAAACACAATATTTTTGTTCAATAGTCACAAACATCGTAGGATAATTCAACACATTCGTCGGACCATACACGGAGGTAGTCTACTTACGTCTATAACTAATGCACCCAGTCAATATCATTATTTTTTTAAAAATCACTATCATTTTTTAACTTCCACTTAGGGTACAAAATTTTCCCGTATAATGGACGTATTCACCGTAGCACAACCTTTTAGCTCCGTCTGACCATACATTGAGATACTCTACTTATGTTCTCAAAAGCGTACAGCCTATATACTCTATCCTCGGAAAAAATTTAATATTGTCTGCTTTTATTTGAAGAATTCAAAACACATTATTCTTGTTCAATAGTCACAGACACCGTAGAATAATCCAACATATTCGTCTGACCTTACACTAATATGGTCTACTTATAACTATAACTAATTCACCTATTCCATACCATTTTTCAAAAAAAATGACTAATATTGTCTACTCTCACTTGGGGCACAAAATCTCCCCGTAGAACATACGTACTCATCGTAGCACAATCTCCTAGCTCTGTCTGACCATACGTCGAAGTACTCTACTAGAATGCACCAACGCGTACACCTTATGTATTTCATCCTCAGAAAAAAGATTTAAATTTTCTGCTTCTACTTGAAACATCCCAAACACATTTTTCTTATTCAATAGTCACAGACATCATAGAATAATCCAACACATTCGTCTGACCATACATGGAGGTAGTCTACTTACGTCTATAACTAATGCACCCAGTCCGTATCATTTTTTTTTGTAAAAAACAGCTAATATTTCCTTTGGGGAAAGCGAGGGCTTGGCCCACGAAATTTTTTCGTCCAATAGACGTATTTCATCGTACCGAAACCCACAATGTACGTCTGACCATACGTAGAGGTACTCTATTCACTATCACGTGCAGCTGGTGCATTTCATTCTCGAAAAAAACGACTGAAACTCTGTACCCTAGTCAAAGCATACCAAGACATCCTGCCAATATATTCCATTACCCTACTCTTGGCAGAAACTGCTGCTTCTGCTGCTGCTCAACAACCGTGTCGACAATGTTTCGGGCAGACACGCCAGCTCGTACTATATATACAGCTCCACTACCAGTTTCTACAGCTCCAACATAGCGTAGCTACACGAGAGTCAAGCTCCTCTCCTCCCAAATTTGCTCGAGGCGTACAGAAGCCAACGAGCCATCTCTCGTTATCCCTTTCACTGCACAATCTGTCGTCCGGCTTGTACTTACTTACCTCCCATACATGTATACATATATTTAGAGTAGTGGATCTCGATCGTTTGTTCCTTAAAACAGGTCAGGTGAGTGTCCTGGACAAGTATTCATTTTTGTTTCGTGTCGTGTTGACGTGTGTGACACCATCGTACACCAACTATAAAACCGTAAGGTATTTGAGGTGGAAAACTTAAGAGTGGTGGAGGTATTTCGTTTCAACGTAGTGTAAATTTTTTTTTTTTTTTTCAAGTCACATGATTTTTTACTATTTTTACTGACGGAATGTGAAGTCGAATCAAAAAGAATGATATCATGCCCGTACGGAGATGAAAAAAATCGAGCTCGCCACCCGAGAAATTTCCAAAGCGAATCACGAGAAAAAAAGAGCTAAAGAAGCAGAACCGTCTACACAGTCCTGTCGGATGAAAAATGTATAAAATTTTCGTTTCTAAATCCACGTACGCTTTCCTTGTACGCAACATATCCACAATTCAAAAGCCAACCTTTGGGCAAAGTATAATTTATCATGTGCCAAAGTATACAAAAAAAAAAAAAGTCTAAAGTTTCATAAGCCGGCAGCAGTTGGTATGAATAATTTCATCACGAGCGTAGCAACGGTACTTGGAGCGCAAATCCCAGCTGCGACGCAGTCAGTGCACCAAACGAATTACAAGTATCTCCACAACAAAAACGGCAATGAATGAAAAAGAAACGGAGCTATAAAACGGGCTTATCGAGATAAATAATTTATACTTACACATACCGTGTTATATACCAAAGAGTCTCGGGGAGGGATGAGTCTAGTAGACACAGGCACTCGGGGCTATTTTCAGAGCCGAAGCTGAAGGGAGGTAACAGCGTCGGTGGCAGTCGATTCAAAGCTAAAACTCTCGTCAGCCGCAAAGTGGCTTTTACCCGAAATTTCGATGCGACCGCTGGCTATTTCGCTTATCTGTGTGATCAACGGTTCGAGGAAAAGAGCCAAGCGTGACCCAAGCGACGCGTACTGGTGGGTACCTCTGTGAGTTGGCTTTTATGGACGTTTTACTCGATAGTGAGAAGATGCGAGGAAGCTTACGTTGTATGGATGTATAAGAGGGGAGCTAGTCCGTAAGGAAGGCCTATGTGGACTGAGATCTTAGGGATGATTAGATCAAATTGGAATGGGTGGGGATTGCCCTGATACAGGTGAAGTATGGATGAATGTCGTTACGTTGCACGGAAATAAAGTTGTCGAAAAATAGGGAAATAATTTAAATATCTATAAATAGAGGTAATGGGGATATCCTAGATGAATACAATCAAAGTCCTCTGTAGCCAAGCTTTTGTATTTTTTTTATTTTTTTCATTTTTTTATGAAAGCTAATTGATGGGTTGTAGAGAGACAACGGTAAAACTCGGCTATTTGAGATATTAATCGATGGCGAAACGTGAGTAGAATAACACATATTTTCCCAGCCATTGGAAGTACTTACAAAAAATTTTTGTACGATTATCCTTGCTATTATTTTGGTAAATAATCAATAAAGGAGGCAACGATTACGAAATTTTCTCTGAATAATTACTGCATAGTTGTAATGCATTACTTAACCCATTATCGCTCTTTTGGGATGTAAACAAAAATGCAACGAACTATTATAATCCTATGTATACTTTACCCAACCATATACAGTTCCAGAGAGTCACAGAAAAAAAAAGAAAAAAAAAATATATATTGCACCAAAGTAACCAGCATACGCGCAGGTGATTTCTCATCCTAGCACCGTGAGCACACACCCACTGCCCTTACTTTTTCATATCCTGAGAGTCGCAAGATTTATCATGCCATACAACCTAAAGAGCACACGAAGTCTTATGA